ACCACAGATACAATATGTTTAGTTTGATATTTCAGTTCGTTAAACTGAATTGAAACATAGTATCAGTTCAGTTCAATGTTAATCTGTTTCTACGTGAGCTGTACCTTGTTAGCACTATAGTCCAAATGCTGTCTCTCAATTCTTTTTCTGTCACTTGACTCCCTGACTAGATTACATTGCTTGGGACATACTGCATTGAGTGAAGTGCCACATTACACAGGACCTGAGTGTTTTTGTAAATATGCATCTCTTTGGGAGTTCAGCCCAGGGAAGAAAATGGGGACATGAAGTACCCAATTTAGAATTTCCATGAGGAAGAATAGCCAGTTGAGCAGACGCAATGCAACACAAAACTTAAGATGAAACCTAATGATGTGATTATGTTCAACAAAGTGAAATAGAATGTTTCTTTCAAAAATGAAACGTCAAAATGAAATTGTTCAGTGTTTTCAATTGAAAATTTCTAACAGTTCCTGTTTTGTGAACAATGTTGATACTTTGACTTTCTGTCCCATTTCAGTATGAGAACAAATTTGAAAATATCAAAATTCCCTGAAAGACAGGAATTCTCAGCACTATTTATCACAACTTACTATTAACTCAGAACATTTCCCCTCCTACAAAATGTATTCGAATGCAGAATATTTCTTCATGCTTTGGAATAGATAGCTTAGATTGTTCTTGTCAGTTCTGCAGGTTTTTTAAAAGTATGAAATAATTTGGCTGATAATTATTAGATATAACTGTGTTTCTTACAACAGGAAATATCACAAGGATATTTCCTTCTAATGTTCAGGATGTCTAGTGCTGGTCGTGGTTCTTCACTCTGAACAGTTGTTTTAATGCTGTGTTCTCAGGCATTCACTACAAGCAGATGCAACCCAAGCAGTATCGTACTGTGGCTAGACCATCATGGCTGCAACATCACTCATCACAACTACGGGCCATGCTCTTCTTGATCTGCTGCTCACAAATGGGAAAGAATTGGTAGGGAATTTACAAGTGGATGGCAACTTTGGTAGTAGCAACCACAAGATGATTTTTTTCAAGATCCTGAGGAAAGGAAAGAAGGAGAGCATCCAAGTAAGGACCCTGGACTTCAGAAAAGCAGACTTCCACTCACCCGGGGAAATGATGGGCAGGATTACCTGGGAGGCCAGTCTGAGGGGGAAAGGAGTCTAGGGGAGCTGGCAGTACTTTAAAGAAATCTTTCTGAGGATACAGGAATAAACCACTGTGATGTACAGGAAGACTAGCAAGCATGGCAGAAGACCAGCTTGGCCAAGAAGTGCAAATATGGACAAATGACTAGGGAGGAGCGTACAAGTATTGCTTAGGCATGCAGGGATTAAATCAGGCAGGTCACTATGCAATTGGAGTTGCAGCTAGCAAGAGATGTGAAGGGCAACCAGAAGGGTTCTACAAATATGTCAGCAACAAGAGGAAGATCAGGGAAAATGTGGTTCCCTTACTGAAAAGGCAAGCCAACTAAGTGACAGATGATGTGGAAAAGGCTGAAGTATTCAGTCTCTTTTAGTTCTCAATTCCTTTTTACATTGATCTTCACATGCAACGTCAACTCCCAGTCTACTGCACCTAGAAACACAGTTTAGGGAGTAGGTGAGGTTCTGACAGTGGTGAAAGAATGAGTTAGGGACTATTTAGAAAAGCTGGATGTATAGAAATCCAGGGAACTAAATGCAATGCACCCAAGGATGCTGAGGGAGTTGGCCAATGTGATTGCAGAGGTGCTGGCTGTTATCTTTGAAAACTTGTGGTGATAAGGAGAGGACCCAAACAATTGGAAAAGGGCAAATATAATGTCTATCTATAAGGAAGGAAAGAAAGAGGATCATGGGAGCTAAAGACTTGTCAGCCTCACCTCAGTCCATGGAAAAATCATGGAACAGGTCCTCAAGGAATCTGTTTCTAAGCACCTGGAGGACAAGAAGATGATTAGGAACAGTCAGCATGGATTCACCAAGGACTTGGCATAGCTGACCAACCTGATAGCTTTCTATGATGAAATGACTGGCTCTGTGGATGTGGGGAGAGCAGTGGATGTGATATACCTGGACTTTAGCAAGGCTTTTGATACAGTCTCCCACAACATTCTCACAAGCAAGCTAAATATGGGTTGGATGAACAGACTGTAAGGTGGATAGAAAACTATCTGGATGGTTAGGTTCAAAGGGTAGAAATCAGTGGCTTGATATCTAGTTGGCAGGCAGTATCAAGTTGGTCCTGGGGACAGTTTTGTTTAATATTTTCATCACTGATCTGGAAGATTGGATGGTATTTACCTTCAGCAAGTTTGCAGATGACAAACTGAGGGGAGTAGTACACATGCTGAAGCATAGTAGGGCTATGCAAAACAGCATGGTTTTGACTTCTGTTTTGACATTTCAATGGCACATGTTTTGCTTTGAGTTTTGTTTCATTTTGAAAGTACTGTTCCATTTTGTTTCATCAAAACTGTTTCGCTGTTTCGCTGTTTCACCCATAGGTTATAATGGGGAAGCATGAAACTGCCTATAACTTTGTAATTTCTTGCCTGATGTGGATGAAACCTGCAGGGACAGTAGGCCCTGCTGAGGCCATGAAGCTTGCCGTGTTTCAAGGAGATATGTGCAGGAGTTTCTGAGAAACTGCACCTCAAGCTGCTGACAAGCAAAACTTGTGACACTGTGTGTATGTTAAGGTGTGTCCTCACTGACTCTGGGGCCTCTACACAGCATGGTAGTGTGCCCCAATGAGGCCTCCTTCTCCCCTACATCCTCAGCCTGGTCTACCACTTTAAATTGCAACAGGTAATAAAATAACTTAGTGAGCAACACAGTATCATCATCAGCATCTCAGACAGCCAAACTGTCACAGAACCTTTCTTTCCTCTCCTGCAAGAGCTTCTTCTCCAGCATGTATGTTAAGGCATGACCTCACTCTGTGTGTGTGTGTGTGTGTGTGTGTGTGTGTGTGTGTGTGTGTGTGTGTTAAGGTGTGCCTCACTGGTGCTGGGGCCTCTACATGACAAGGTGCCCCAATGAGGTCTCCTCCTCCCCTACATCCTCATCCTGGTCCACCACTTTAAATGACACAGTGAGCAGCACAGTAGCACCAGCGTCATCTCAGGCAGCCAAACTGTCACAGAGCTTTTCTTTCCTTTCCTGCATGAGCTTCCTATCTAGCAGCTGCCAGAGAACTTTCCCTGCCAGCCCCAGCCCTGGGCTTAGATGCGCCTAGGACCCTGCCTCCTTCTGGTCAGGTGCTAAGGGTGTTGGTCTAATGCTGAACACCCGCTCACTCAGAACACTTGTTGGTGGACAGGATACATGTTTGTGGGCAACTATGGCCGGATCCGGCCACATCTGGCTGCAACTTGCCCAGTAGACCAAGAGGCTGCACAGCAGTGGCTCCACGTTGTCATCAAGATAGGCAGCCACCAAGGGCTGAGTGCTACCTGCCTTATGGTGGGGTATGGTGCCTCTGGACCCCACCATGGAAGCCATGGCCTTGGCCCACATTGACAGCACCTGTGGTGGAGGAGGAGACTGGCTTGTGGGCGGAGTGCTAGCATGGGACAGTGGATCCTCCTCTTCCATATCCCCCTGCCTCTGCCATCTCTGACTCTCTTCACCAGCACCTCCCTCCACTGATTTATGATTTGGCTGCTGCATATGCTGCCCTCTACCCTCAGGTCACACATGGTGGCTAGCATGTGGACCGTACCAGACCACAAGGGATCAAGCCATTTCCTGAAGCCCTCCTTCAGCTGCCTCACCAATGCCTGCACATCTGGTGACAGCAGCTTGCCCCAGCCAGGAACACTGATCCCCTGGAAGATCTCCATTTGGCTCTGAAGTTCCCTCACCATGGGGATCACCTGGCTAAGGAGGCCATTGCCAGTGCTGAGGATCTCAGTGGCCTCAAGGAAGGGCCTGAGGACCACCAAGATCTGGGAGATGATATCCTGCTCATCTCTGTTAAGGGGAAAGATGATCCCAATCTCCCTGAGCAAGGCCATCTCATGGATAGCCTTCTGTTGCTCCACCAGCCTCTAGAGCATCAGGTATGTGGAGTTCCACCGAGTCTCCACATCCTGCATGATTTTGTGCTACGCAATGTAAAGCTCTGCTTGTTTGTCCTGCAGCATCTTGCCTCCTTGATGCTCTGGTGGAAGTAACCTGCCACCTTCCTGCATTCGGAAATGAGATTGCTGGTGGTGCTGGTGCCATCATCATCAGCCCTGTTCCCCTCCAAGACATACCTGACAATGATGTGGAACTTGTGTGCCACACAGCGGATGCCAAAAAAGTTGGCATCACAGACTACCTTGACCATATTGGCCCCATTGTTGATGACCATGAACCCACAGGTGAGCTCACCCTGGCCAATGAACCACCCCTGCACCAAGTGGTTCAAGGCCCCCATGATCTCAGTTGCTGTGTGGTACTCATCCATCACCTTGGCCTGAAGGAGAGCCAACCAATGGCCTGACTGGCCACACCAGTGCTCTGTGAGGGAGAGGTAGGCCTGATCTCCACCCTGACTGCTCTAGATGTCTGAGATGAAGTGTATGGGGCCATGAGTGCCATGAGCTGCCTGAACTGAGGAGAAGGACTGGCTATCAATAGCAAGTTTCTCCCCAGTGCTCTGAGTGATCTTACTCTCGCATGCAACACACCTTGCTTTCTGTCCACCTTTCCCCCACTGTTCCAGGGTGGCCTGCCTCTGCTTTGGTGGGACGGGGGCTTTGGAGTGAAAGGGGGACCTCCTTTTGGGCATGCTCCTGCTTGTGCCAGGTTGAGGAGCAAGGGCAAGCAGGTAGTGCCTGTGGAGATGTGCCAGCTTCCCTGTGGTGCTCATGTGTTTTGTTCCTTTGCCCCAGCCGGTTTTGTCTTGCCAGCGCAGGCAGATAGTGTATGTGGGATCATCCGCCAGCTCAAAATGATCCCAGACCACACTACCCCCTTACTTCTGGGGTGCAGGTACATGTGTAGATGCTGCAATTTCACCCTCCTCAGTAGAAAGAGGCATAGCAACAGGATGAGAGAACACAGCTGAGCCGCTTGCCTCCAGAACCTCTACCTCATTCTTCTCTGAAGTGCCTTCTGGGGAAGGAGACCTGGGTCTAAGGGAAACCTGAGGGCTGTGAAGCCCAAACTCACCTAATACTTCCTCCTTCCCCAGAATTTCCTTTGCTGGGGCACTCAGATCCAGATCCAGCTCTTCCTCTGGCACTGGAAGTCTTAGCATGGGAAGTGAAATGGAGATGGAGGAGACTGTCATGCTGGTTCTGGTGCTGATGGTTGTTGTCATGGTGGTGGTACAGGGAGTTATGGCTGGTGCTTTTGGAGGGGATGTAATCTCAGGCACAGGCAGTGGCACTGGCACTGCTCTCCTCTCTTTGCTGCTTCTAGAAGACTCATCCCTTCTAGTTGTATGAAGGAGGCTGCGTCTCAGTTTGGGTGGGGGGCGGGATTACACCTCTCCCTCTACCCTCTCCTTTACCCCTCCCTGAAGACTTGTCAGCTGCCTCTCCACCATGCTTCATGGTGTGTTTCACAGTGTCTTGTTTTTATACAAATATATAAATGTATCTGCATTCCTATATAAATTCTTTAAGGTGTGTAGTCTATGCTGCAATGTATAAACGTATAGAAATAAAAAAATGTTATCTCCCTTCCTATATAAATTAAATTGTATAGTGTGATCCTATCCTATAATTATAAAATTGAAAATAATAAATCAATGAATTAGTAATAAAATAAAAGGGTCTAGAAGAAAGCAAAAGGTATGCTGGAAAATCACTTGCTAGACTAGGCTAGCAAATAGGAAATCATTCAAATTAATGCTAGTAGTAGACTTTGCTGTCTAACACTTCTGAGCTGTTGGAAGACACGGCTCAGTAACTATCAGACCCCAGAAAACAGGGCAGTTCAAACAGTGCTGTCTTTTATGCTGTTTTTGCATTCCTCCCCCAGAGCACTGGGGTTGGAAGGGACCCCAGGTAAGGATCAAAGTCAGTGGCCAGCTACACAGTCAATATGAGACCAGTCCTTCCCCCCTCTTCCCCACCCTTCCCCCACCCTCTCCTTACTTTCTATTTCCTTGCAGGCAAGCCCAGCTTGAGCTTTGAAACTTGAAATGTTTCAAAACTTTCAAAACGTTTTGACTGCCCTCATTTCGTGTTGAGGCTTTTTTGAAGCCCTTCATTTAATTTCAATTTTGCTGTTTCAATCTCAAAATGAGTCAAAACAGCATTGAAATGAAACAGCTGGTGAAATTTGCACAGCCCTAGAGCATAACACTAAGTTTCAGAGAGATCTAGACAAATTGGAGGATTTGATCAAAAGTAATCTCATGAGGTTAAATAAGGACAAATGCAAAGTCCTGCACGTAGGACAGAACAATCCCACACATTGGTACAATCTGGGGACCAAATGGCTAAATAGCAGATCTGCAGAAAAGGACTTGGGGGTTATGGTAGACAGTAAGCTGACTATAAATCAACAGTGTGCCCTTGTTGTGAAGAAGGCTAACAGCATACTGGCCTACATTAGAAGGAGTGTTGTCAGAAGGTCAAGGGAAGTGATTACTCCCCTCTATTCTGCATTGGTGAGGTCACATCTGGAGTTCTTCATCAAGTTTTGGGTCCCCTACTACAGAAAGGATATGGAGAATTTGAAAAGAGTCCAGTATGCTACCAGATTTACCCATTCCTTTGGGGTATGTTCATTTATTAGAGTTACATTTCTGGGGTCTCTGTAATTCTATCAATGTGCTGCTTGTGTCACTTGTGTTTCTACATGGAGCTTTAGCTCTCCCTTCTGCACGTCCTCACCCCAATGGAGCTACCTTGCAGGGTTTAGTTTCAATGGGGCTGGGTTCCTCCAGCTACTGAATCAATCAAACACTTACACATATACAGGTTAACAGAGCACATCTGAGTCAGGCTGGGTTACTCAGCATTTCCAGGCTGATAACCACATGTGCCCCAACTTCAGCACAGGAATAGAGTATGTCTCATCTGGCTGGATCAGCCAGCATTCACAGGCTGACTCTGTCATATGCCACAGCTCAGCACAATAGAATAATCAATAAAAAACAGTCAAACACATGCACACAGGTTAATAGGGTACCTCTGAGTGGACAGGGTTCGATCAACACTTTCAGCTGAAACCCTCATGGGCCTCAGCTCAGCACACCCCTTATTTCAGCAAGACAATAATAAATGCAGTTAGGCACACATATACACACACTAACAAGGTACGTCTGAGCAGGCTGGGTCTGATAATCACTTTTAGCTGATACCCTTACACACGTCAAAACTCAGCATGCCCCAATCTCTTGTCATAAGTGCCTTAGTAGTAACTTCCTTGATGAGCAGACCCCACAGGATCTTTGGGCTTTACAGGGAACTTGTGCTTAGGTAAAAGAAGCATTGCTACAGAGTAGGTGGGGAGGTAGAGGAGAAGGAAGAGTAAATGAGGTTCAGAGGGAGAGAAAGTATAGCAGCCAGTTTGACTATAAAAATTATTTTATTGCCAGGTACGTGAAACTTATGATGATACTAGTAGTAATAGCCATACAAGGAAAAGCAAACAAAACAGTTACATTATTACACAGTTCCAAGTAGGTATTTGGGGAAGTCTAGCTGAAGTTTGATCAGCAAAAGTCAGGTTTAGAAAGCTGTGCCTGAAGTAAGAGAGAGAAGGAGAGAGAAAGATTGAACCAAGTCTGAGGTTTAGAAAGTGGGCTTAAACAAAAGAGGGATAGAGAAAAAGAGAGAGAGTTGAGGTCTCATCACTCCAAGGTTCTCAGGTGTTTGTTGATGGGCAGAGCCCCAGCACACTCACTGAAGGTATTCCATGCAGAAAAGGAGTGGAACTGGTGCAGCTTTTGGATCCAAACACCAGGACACAGACTGAAGCTGAGGCAGGGGTTTTTGTAGGGGCTTAAGGGAGAACACTAGGTTTGTTTATGAGTAAACAATGGCTCATATGCTGGATAATAGGAACTGATCACCCCTGGCTATGGGTGGCATTACTCTGAGACAGTTCATAATGCAACAGGCAGATTCAGTGTTGTGGGTACCAATAAAGGAGTCATTACTAGGATTGGTTTGATGAATGCTGAACTGGGTGTGTGTAGACAAAGGATTGATTAGCATTTGGAGCAGGGATCCCCCATCATGCAGTGCTCCCCTGCTTCTCTGGTCCCAGAATTCAGTGTGGTCCTTGCCTTAGAATCTCTGTTCTCCATCCTGATGCTAATGAAGGTGCTTTCCTGTCCCATCTCCCATGTAAATGAGGCCAGGGGAATTGCTTCACTCCTGTCATCCTTATTTGGAGGGGTTTAGGTGTACTTCCCACTGCATCTTCATTGTCATTTGTAAGTCCTTCCTCTAATCAGTTCTGCCATAGTTCCTGTTCAGGCAGAGGTGGGGGATGAGTCCATTGTGAGTCAGGCAGGCTGCATACCATGTTAGCCTTCTTCACAACAAGGGCACACTGTTCACTTATAGTCAGCTTACTGTCTACCAAGAACACAGAGCTGAGAGGTAATAAGCGTAGGGCAATGAAAATGGTCAGAGGGCTCAGGAATGTGATTTATAATCCAGGATCCTGGTTTTCTCTGTTTAAAATCACAAATTCTCTGATTAAAATCTCCAAAGTCTGCATATTTCCATGATTAAAATGTAACACCACTATATACATAAGTATCAGTTGAATAAAATGTTTTATTGATATGTTTATAATTTTAAAGCAAGTAGAAGCCTACCAGTGCTTCAATCATTATAATAAAGTAAGTTATAAATACTTTGGGTTTCTGCCCAGCCTGGTCAGTGTGTGGGGTTTGAGGCCTGGGACCAGAATGCACAGCTGCAGGCTCCAGTGGGGCATGGGACGGAGACGCAGCCAATTCATTGGGGGCAGGGGGGCCTGGCTCCCTGCTGTTGCATGCACTCCCAGGAGGGTATGGGGGGGCATGTGCCCCAAAGATTTATGTGTGGAGTGGAGGCAGGCTGCCTGATGCAGGCTCAGGGATCCCTGCCCCGCTGTCCTCCCCCTGAGGCCTCTGTGGCCCAGCAGCAGCATGGCAGGGCAGAGCAGGATGGGAACAGAAAGCTTAATGCTGCTGCCTCTGGGAGCCCCATGTTGCTATGGTGAGGCACCCCCTGATTGCCTGGCAATGTAGGGCTTGCAGCAGTGGTGCCTGGCCCAATATGCTCTGCTATGCTGGGTCCCACCTGATGGACTATGGAGGTCCTAGGGGGAGGGCAGCAGGGCAGGGAGCCCTTAGCCACAGCTCACACCCACTCCACACACAAATCTGAGGGACACATGCCTCCCCTCATGCCTTACCCCAGGAGTCCATGCAGCAGGAGGGAGCCACACCCCATATCCAAGCCCGTAGTAGGCAGCTCGCATTCACCCCATGATGGGCTCTGCTCTGGCTGTGCTACCTCTGGGGGAGGGGGAGCCAGGCTCCTTGCTTCACTCCACCAGAGCAGCTGCCACATCCCACAGGCAGCAGCCAGGACTCACATATTTCTGTGGAGGGAGGGGGCTGCAGATCCAGATCCCTAGCCCTGCAGCCCTGACAGTTGGTGGCCCCCTCCAGCAGGGGGCTGCGGGTGGAGAGTGAGGAGCACCAGCTGGGCCAGGGGACTATGGTTTGGAAGTGAGGGGCACCAGCAGGGCCAGGGGGCTGTGGATCCAAAGTGAGGGGCAATGGCATGGTCAGGGCACCAGCATATCAGGGCTGCTTAGCACCACAAAACAGTGCAGGAGGGCAGATTCAGCTGGACCCACATCCTGGTGAGTGAAGGGTGTAGTGGGAGCTCTGATTTTCCTTGATAAAAACCCCAAATCAAACACCAAATATAATTTATTTGACTCTTCTTGGCTGTCACATTTGGCAAAACCATATCCTAAATATAAGGTTATATAACAAATAAGGTTATATGACATATGAAAGGAAATAAGGTATATGCATATTTTGAAAAAAAAAACTTGTAAGCATCTTCCTTGTATAGAATTGCTAATTCTTCAGAACTCAAGTGTTCAGTACCAGTAATACCACCTCCTAATAGCTTCCATTTTTGAACATTTATGAGTAAAGGATAGGATCAATAAATTTGACAAAATGTAGGGGAAAAGTAATTATTTCTTCAAGGGGAGAACTTCAGGGCTCCTGAAATGTGATTTCATTTTTTCTCTATAACTTTTCTTTAAAAAAAATTCTTTAATCTATTTCTTTGCTTCAGGATTTTCCTACAGCTATTTATTGATTTCAGTACTAACTTGCATTACTTTCACAAGATGGCTGGCACTTCCTTTTCATGCCTGGCACTTCCTTTTGATACAACCACTGCCCTCTCTCTCTCTCCCTCTCTCTTTTTTTCTTGCCTAACACAAGCTAACTGCACTTAAAAACTACTTCTTTTGTAACACAGGTGTTCAGGACCAACATTCAGACTGGCAAACCAGTAATTAGGAACAGGTCACCTGAATAATGCTCTCCAAGCTCTATCTGGCTCTTCCTCCTATTTATAAAATGCAGAAAACCAAGAACAGGTTAATAGTGGAAACAGAAGATAGACTGTATAAACTCATACAAACTTAAGATGCAGACAGAAGTGACAACTTTTGCCTGATCTGGCCTCTGAAAGTTGTCTACAGCTGTGACCAAACAAAAGTGCACAACTGCAGAGTGCTTTAAAGGGGCCCAATCTCATCATAGTCTGGCCCCTCATTAAGTGAGGGTTCAGGTGAAGGCATTCCAAAGCAGAGCACCTTCATTAACTTCTGTCTGTATGCGGTGGGAGCAGGGCTTGACTCACATAGCCTAGCCTGGCTCCCAGTGCTGTTTTCAGAATGGAAGAGATTAAAGGAGCAGAGGAAACTCATTCCAGGATGTTTTCAGCCCACACTGGAGGGTGGGATGGGTGGATTGGAGCTCCAATCCACCCCACTCCAGCACAGCTGGGGAAACTCCAGAACAGACCTCCCTCCCCTTCCTTCTCTCCCTTCCATTCTGAGATAGAATGGGAAGTGGAGGGGGAAGGGGAGCGCAGAGCTAGGCAAAGAGGTTGCAGAGATTCAGCCTCTCTCCCTGGATTGGATCCAAATTAAAAATTTTTCTCCCATGTGAGGATTGATCTCACTCATAGCACTATCTGTGAGTGCCATGAGTTAGACCCACAAGCTACACTTCTGTATGGGCCTTTAGGTTAAATACAGTCAAAAAGTCCCAGGCTGAATCAATTCCGTTTTTGCAGATTTCTGTAAACTGCATAGATTGAACCGATAATAAAGTGAACTGATGTTCACTTTTGAAACCTGAAAGGCAGCCAGACACCTGCAGTGACCCATATCAGTATCTGGGGTGCACTAGAGCACACCTACTAGCCTGCTGGCCACTTCTGAAGGCACCCTAATGCAGGCTGAATTGTCAAATGCTCATTCTTGATTGGCTACCCAGCAAACACCCCACAACCACTTGCTATCCTCTCCGGGGGAGAACAATTCCTCCAGCCCAGGGTTACCTGGATCCCCTGGCCTCAGAGGAAGTTCCCTGCCTATAGCAGGGTCCCCTGAACCTTTCCCTGGTGCAGAAAGGGGATTTCCTCTTCTCACCTCTCAATATGGTCCCGCATGACTTGGTCCCATGTCAGGTTGACAGGCAGAGGCCAGGTAACAGAGGCTTTACTGCCTCAGCTCTGTGAAAGCAGGTGGGTGGGGCCAGCCCTAATCTGCACTGAACTTCTGTTCTGTTACAGGTTTAAACTGGTTTCTGATCACAAATCAGTTTATGTGTAGCTTCTGTCCCTAGCCTTAGTGTCCTTCCTAGAGGGAGGAAACTCTAGTTCAACCCTGCTGCCAAATTGTTAAACAATCCCAGACAAATGTTCATCCTACCTCTTCTTGAAAACCTCCAATGAATGAGATTCCACAGATTCCCTTGTTTCATCATCCTACTGCTCTTGTGGTTAGCAGGTTTTTCCAGTGATTTCATTTAAGCTGTAGAAGTAAAGCTGGACAGGAGAAAATCAAAAGGTAAAAGAACAGGTGTTTAAAGGGAAGGGAACCAATCATCTAAATTATATGATCTGAAGCAGCCGAGTGATTCTTCTGTGAATGAACCTCAAGTGTTCTATTAATCTGCTGATAGTCCTAAAGAAACAGAAAAGTAATGGATCAAAACAAAAACTAAAAAGACTCAAAAGAATCTCTTCCACAGGGAAATATCATTTCTGCACAGAATAAAAATTACTTTAGTTATTTTTAATTATATGAATATGTAGCTTAATAATAAGAAAAACCCTGTGAAACATATATATATGCTAGGGCTGTGCGAAATTTTGCTGGCTGTTTTGTTTCAATGCTGTTTTGACTAGTTTGGAGCTCGAAACAGCAAAATTGAAATCAGAGAATCATAGAATCATAGAAGTAGGGTTGGAAGGGACCTTGTAGATCTTCAAGTCCGACCCCCTGCCTGGGCAGGAGAAAAAACTGGGCTCAACTGATTCCAGCCAGGTAGGCATCAAGCCTCCTCTTAAAGACCCCCAGGGTAGGAGCCAGCACCACTTCCCTTGGAAGTTGGTTCCAGCTCCTAGCCGCCCTAACTGTGAAGTAATTCTTATGGACGTCTAATCTAAATCTACTCTCCAACAACTTGTGGCCATTATTCCTTGTTATGCCAGGGGGTGCTGGGGAAACAAGGTCTCTCCCAAACCCTTCTGATCCCACCTAGTGAGTTTATAGACTGTCACCAGGTCCCCCCTCAGCCTTCTCTTGTGAAGGCTGAACAGGTTCAGGTCCCACAGTCTCTCATTGTAAGGTCTGCCTTGTTGTCTCCAAATCATGTGGGTGGCCCTCGTCTGGACCCTCTCAGTGTTGTCCGCATCCCTCCTGAAGTGGGGTGCACAGAACTGGACACAGTACTCCAGCTGTGGCCTGACCAGTGCTGCATAGAGGGGGAGTATCACCTCCTTGGACCTGCTTGAGATGCATCTGTGGATGCATGACAAGGT